ATACAACACGCCGGCAGCGGCTCTGTGAAGGCGTGTGTGATAAGCATTTGCTAGAGCAACTTTTGTAAGAGTTTTTAATCTTCAAATAAATTTGTGTTTTTACGATATCACGCTATGGATGTTTAAAATTTTTTTTCCTGTGCATTTGGTGAATGAAAAAAGAGACAGTAAAAGTGGCGGTACAACGTCCAAGTGGACAGATTGTGAGCACTGTAAGACCATTTTTGTTTAATGGTCCACCCTACCCACCCCCACTCAACTCCTGAGTGGCAAAAGGAGATGAAGAAAGGAACCATAAATAGAGGAGAGGCAGGGAGAGTCCATGGAAATCCGCCAGCTCATGTGTCCTTTACCAATGGGAGAAGATTTTAGAATTGGTCTCTTAAAAGTGATTACAGACTGAGCTTTTGAGAGTCAGAATACTAATGTCATTCCACTGTTCCTCAGAGAATTGCACCTCCAACATCAGCTCTCATTTCTCTTTGAAATAAGGTGGACCACCTCCAGCTCCAGAACTAAGCATACCATACAACACGGAGATCAGATGTCTGGTGTTCCTTTTACATAAGGCCATGTATTAAATTTTTTTCAGCTCCCCTCCACAAAGCCTGGGACCAACAAGAGCCTGTTAAAAAGTGCAAATAGAACCACCACGTTATGAACTAGCGCACAGCCCAAGTAACTATCTCCGCACGGGGCAAGCATTCTTTATGTTGAAAAAACATCCCAGCTCTCAAGCGGACAGAGAATTTCAAATGATTAAAGAATGTGGACACATTCCCAGGTGGAAATTCATGGTTCCCTTTTAAGGGTGTAAGGGGACACTGGGGTTGATAGTTTTTGTAAGGAGCATACACTGTGGAAAACATTGAATAATGCTCCCATCAGCCGATGATTTTTGACCTGCACTGGCTCATGCACCCTTTCCTACCAAGGTAGAAGGAATATCTCCGTCTGTAGCCATTCTTGTTCTATTGTGATCCATGCTTCAGAGTGTATGTGGACACTCCAATCCACCAATCTCATCAAGTGACATGCCTGATTAATATCTGGTGCCCCCAACCTCCCATGCCATTTCATATCTTTCAGTATTTGCGTATTCTTGGATGCTTACAGTCCCATATGAAACCAAACAGCTCCCTATCCAAATTTTTCAGGAATGTAGGAGTTAAGGCTATGGAGATTGTCTGTAAGAGGTAAAGTATTCTCGGGAGAACATTCGTTTTGACTATCGTTAACTTACCATTCCACAAAAAACACGATCTTACACCATCTCTGCAAATCTGCCACAACGGATTTGGCCAATGTGGCAAAGTTAAGACTGTATAGAGCAGGGGTAGCCAAACTCCGGCCCTCCAGCTGTGGTAGAACTACAAATCCCATGAGGCATTGCAAGATTCTCACAGCCACAGACATGACTCCCGAAGAGAGATGCACCATGGGATTTGTAGTTTCACCACAGCTGGAGGGCCGTAATTTGGCTACCCCTGGTATAGACCATCCTTGTGAGGTGGGGGATTGATGCCTAGATATTTGATGTGGGATTGAGGCCATGGAAAGGAAAGGCTTTCCTTAAGTGACACCTCTGTGAATAAAGGCATGCCTATATTTAAGGTTGCAGATTATTGATTTTCAGGTTTGACAGCTCACCATATTCTTAAAATGCGCGCATGAGATTGGGTATGGTGACAGAAGGGTTTGAGGAAAAACAACATGTCATCTGCAAATGTGGCAACCTTATACATAGTATTGCCTGTCTGCAGTCCACGAATTTCAGTATGTTGTCTAATTATTCCTTGGAAAAAAAAAGATCAAAGATAAAAAATAAAAATCAAGGGCAATAGAAGGCAACCCTGCTGAGTGCCATTACAATAGGGAAGCTAGAGGATATCATTTTGTTGGTTTTTACCTCCACATATGGGTTGGAATAAACTGCTCCAATCCAAGCAAGCATTCTCGCCTGAAGGTCAGTGAATTTCAGCACTGCAAACATATAATACCACACTAATCTGTTGAATGCCTTTTTTGCATCCGTCGACAAAAGGACAGCGTCAACTTTGCTTGCTCTGGCCCAAAAAATAGCATTGATGGCCTTTGTTGTGTTACCCCGTGCCTCCCTTCCCAGGGCAAACCCCACTTGATCGCCACCAATCCAAGTGGTAAGCAACTGGAGAAGTCAATTTGACAGAATGTGGGAGAAAATTTTCAGGTCCACATTTAGTATTGAGATTGGACAATAATTGGAGCAGATCTTGGGGTCTTTCACCTCTTTAGGAATCAACGTAATATGGGCTCCAAGCGCATTCGAAGGAGAGGGATATGTATCATCCAATAAGTTGTAGGCTTTCGTTAAAATGGGGACCAAGTATATTGTCGCACAGTTTATAATATTGCTGCAGAACCCCATCAGTTCCTGGTCATTTACCCAGTTTCATTTGTTTTAAAGCGCTGTGAAACTCCCTCCATATCTGCTCCTTTAGTGTCTTAGCTGTGGTGGCATCTAAGGTTGGCATATTTGCCTTCCATAATAACAATTCTATTTTACATTTCTAGATCTCCACCTCTTCCTGTGGCACTGTCTCTCCTGTATGGTTATAGAGCAGAGTAATAGTCCCTGAAAACCTGAACTATGTCTGGCGGACTCTGGTATATGTTCCCGTTCCTATCTTCAACATATTCTATAGTAGTTCTAGCTGTCTGAGCTCTCAAAACTTTGGCTAGAAACCTGTTGCTCTTATTCCGCTCTTCATAGTATACGCTGCTGCGAAGTGCCATGCCTTTAAAAACCTTCTTTTTCAGCAAGCAGGATAGCGCCTGTAAAGCTTCAGAAAGTTCCCTAAGTGCATTCTCTGCTAAGGTTTGCTTCTGAACACAGTCCAATGCCCAATATTGTTTTGCTCTCTTAAGCCGGGTGGCTAACTGAATACATTTCCCTCTAATGCTGCATTTATGTGCCTCCCATGTCCTTAAGGATGAGACATCTCCAGTCACATTAATAGAGACATTTTTGTTCAAAGCATTCAAAATTTTACTCACAATTGCTTGATCCAAGAGTAATTGTGAATTCAATCTCCGTTTTCACTGTTTATATTCATTACCAAGTAGTGAAATAGTTGTAGATACTGGGGCATGATCATAAATAATGACCCCTATATCACCAGAATTAAGTTTCTGTAAGTCTCTGGCTCAGAAAAATATAGTTGATCCTGGAGAATTTGTTATGTAAATTGGAAAAGAAAGAATAGTCTCTCTCAGTAGGATGAACGGTCTGCCAGGTATCAGCTAGACACACAGATACAAAAACATTGTCAAATGAGTTAGAGTTTTGTATGACAGAATCTTTGTGAAAAGTACTAAGGATCTTTTTTTGGTGCATTCAGGCCCTTGACATTCCAATATGTAGCTTTCCACTGTATCTGTCCTACTTGCATGTTGGAAGCAGGGAGAGAAGTCAGAAAACTAACCCTCCTCCTTCTAACCTTGTAAAATCGCTTCTCACACAGCTCTTCCCGGAGTGAGTATTCCCCCCGGTAGTAACTCTCAGTTTCACTATGTCTTATTTATACCATATGGTGAGGGGAGGCAAAAAAGGAAAATTGAGTAAAGAGGATTAGGTGTACAGTAAGTAAAGAGAGGAAAGCGAAAAAAGGAGGAGGATGGGGGGACAACTAACCACTCACGACAGTGAGGGGAGAGGTCACAAAAATATATCCCTGAGAGATTGAAGTCTACAGTAAAAGCCTCTCAATTGGGACCAGTGTTGGGTGGGGCAGGAAAATCCCCAGACACTTCATTTTGTCGGCAACGTTAAACTAATCAAGGCTTGGCACCACCATCAGACCCCCTTTAGCATTATGGTAGAAAACTTTAACCACACCTCATGTAAGAATGCAGAAGACTAGTGTCTCACCCCCCACTATTAGACATGTGCACCCCCACTATTAGAAATGTGCACAGGCAAAACAATTGTTTAGTTTTGTTTTAGTTTTCATTCAGATTTTCTGTTATTTTGGGATTAGGGTCAGAAAGTCAATTCGGTTCGGGATTCTGACAAAATACATAAGCGGTAGTCTGTACGAATTTTCATTTATGAACAAATTTTTGTTGCAGCAAAGTGACAGGCAAAAAACTATTCATATGGCACCTCTGCTCACAGACCCGTATGGCATTCGGGAGCTCCCGAATGCTATTTGGTATTTGACAGCTGAAAATGTCAAATGTGCAGGGCGAGCCCTGTGACGTCACACTCGCCCCGCCCATCTGTTTACATTCGGGCAGGAGATGACATTTTGCGACGCGTTCTTGTCGTGCTTGGATGGGTCATCATGCGGCAGGACTTTTTTTTATTTCGGCTTTTCGGCGGGCGTCATGCATTGTGATTGACTGTTTTGCAAAAAACTATTAAAAAAAGAAATTACTCCATTCACTTTGGAGTTCCTAACGTTTGCATCAGATGCACCCTCCCATCAGAGTTCCCCCCTTTATGATCAGGAGCCACATCAAAAGCCCCCCTCATCATCTTTGTGTTCTCATTACCCCCTTTACATCAGAGTCTTACCTTATCATTTTAACCACATTGCAGCTGCTGGAGCTTGTTAGAGGGACTGGAGGTGAAGCAGGTCTGAACAGAGGCAGAATTCTGTCCTCTTCTGAGTGCTGTGGGAGGTTCCAGATGCAGCCTGTTCTGTATTAGTCATGCGTTTCCTTGGTGCTGGCTCACCTGCACCATGGAAATCACCATGGAAATGCATGATATGGTTTGAAAATTTAAAAACAGCCCTGACAAAGCCAGAACGCACCCTGGTTGAGAAAGGCTGGTATATTTAACAGATGAATGGACCAAATAAGAGAAGTTCATTGTTATAGTTTACATACCTTTTTAAGCAGCTAGGCAGAATCACTGTAGTAACTAATTTGTCCTGCCTGTATTGGTTAATTTGCATATTTCTACATTAAATATGATAAAATATGAAAGAACATGAATGTGAAAATCACATAAACATTCTTTTCGAGCCAGTTTACACCAATTACGGTGCATTCCAGAGCGGTAGCTGCTGGAACACACTGTAATAGCACACTAAACTCCCCCCTTGGTTCTGGGGCGGGAGGGGGCATTGCAGGCAATGGCACAGCAATTGGGCACATGGCAAAACATTGCCTGCGTTCCGGTCCAGTGCAAACTCAAAAGATGCTCCATGCTGAAAATAAAATATACTTTTTTAAAGATTTTTTTTAACTATTTGAAAGATGAAACAGCCGGTTGTTCTACCTTTTAGCTCCATGTTTATTATGCATTCATGTGGAAAGCTAGATGTCTGTTAAAAAAAGCAAAACCAAAGAAAATTATATGCTTTTGCTTATTGTGAATTTCCTTTTCAGACGAGCTTCGAGCAGCATGAGGAATTGATGGCTCTTCTATATAGTCAACAAAGAGAACTTTCTGAACTTCGTCAGAATCAGCAGGATCTCATGCAGAGGCTCACTGATCATTTAGATGCAACTCAAAGTTCTATCATGGGACATGTGGAACGTGTCATTGACACACAGCAAGCACAAGAACGTATCTTTTCATTCTTTTCATGGCAATAGTACTTTGCTCCTTAGATTACTTCTTTACTAAGATAGCTTTAAGGGACTGTGGGATGAAAAACAAAGATGTTTACTATAAACGTGTGTGTCATATTCATGTTTTTTAATTACTTTTCCTGATGACACTAGCTATGTTAGAATTTTAGGACCTGTGAATAATAAACTCTTAAAGTACAACTACCCTTTTCCAGAAAAAAAAGCCCACCTTACCCCGCCTCCCTAGATAGAAGTCCCCTCCTCATTGCTGGATCTGATGCAGAGGCTCGCTGATCATTTAGATGCACCTCAGGATGTCATCATGGTGCATGTAGAATGTGTAATTTAGCCCAGACCCCAGTGCACACTTATCTGTCTGTGGTAACCTCCTGTAGTGTTTACATCCGCAGTGTGGAAATCTTTTTTCATTACTGCCTGCTCATGACCCCCACAAACACTTGCATGGGGTTGTACTCCTAGCATCTCTGCTGTAGGAACATTGTCCATTTAAATCTATGGGGAGTTAGTGTGCAAGCATGGGCAGTGCCGGAAAGGTTTTCTTGATCATACATCACAGGACACAGGGAGTTAATTCCTAGACTACTGTGTTATACAGCTACCTTGAGGTGATTGTACACTGGCCTCCCACTCCCAGTTTTTTGACTATTGTCCTTAGGTGATGGCTGTGGTCATTAGGGAGCCCTGACACTGAGGGCAAGAGCTGGATCGCATGCTCCTGATGACCATTGCACATCCTGGTAAGGACCAAAGGTAAGCATTTGCTCTGCCACCCAGGTTCTACATGATGTCCTCATCTCCCCTATAGGGGTATTGCTATGATTAGATTATCTATTGCAGCATATGGGCTGGCTCTGCTAAGAGAAGCTTACCTACTTTTTTTGGACTTTTTTTTCATCAAGTTCTAGCTGCTCCATTGAAAAACAAAAAAACAAGTAAAACCTTTTTATTCAAAAAAGAGTAAACAAAAATATACTCAAAAATAAAGTAGTATCTAAAAGCATCAAAATGCACTGACAATCCTTGATTGAATAGCTGCTGTGGATGTAACAGATGGAGAGATCAAGGAGACACTCAGGAGACTCTGCTCTCCTCACAGAGTTCCACTGCTAATGCATAGCGTGCTTTCGGGGACACAACCCCTTCCCCAGAGCTTAGACATTCTAGCTCACTATGTGCTATTTCATACTCTACAGCCAGTCAAAAAGATCACTAGGATTGAAATCCCACCAATTGTAGGCTAACATAATGTTACTAGGGAGAAAAGCAGATAGCCAATCACAGAAAAAAAAAAAGTGGGCATTAACTTGGCCAGAAAAGTCGCCCCCCATTAACCCACTTAGCCGGCAGTTCGGGGGAAAGAGAACAGACTGAAGAAAAATGAATACAGACTACCCACTGGCCTTTACAGCACATTATACCACCCATATAGATCTCTTGGAAGGGGGTTGGTGCCCACTGGGACGGCGAAGCCAGGATGGAATTTGTCCCTAATGTCCAGAGATCTGCAACAAAGGGTATTTGCTGTGGTAAATCAGACTTAGTACCCTTCCCTGGCCCAGTGTGCTGATGCTCCAGTCCCTCCTGGGGTTAATAGTGGGGGGCTGGGTGTGGCACATTTGAATGGAGTGCCAGTCATTTTTAAAATTTTAGCATATTTTTTTTCATCAGTCAGTCGCAGGGTCTGTTTCACTGGACTGCCATGCTACCTATGCCGGATCAATTTTTCAGATCTTACTCTGTTGCACGCACCATTTCTCTGGTACGTGTGCTCCGACCACGCCACTTTTGCTCCCGGCTTCCGCAATACAGCACAGTGATTCTTGGATGTATTCTGAGATCCAATTGCCTACAGTGCCTGGCACAGAATGCTAACTCTTCCTCTCTGCAGTGGTCAAGGTTGTAAGCAGGGCCGTAGATACATTTTTTTCCTGGGGGGGTTCAGCTTCCTCAAATTATAAGATTTTATCTAGCAGACACACCAAGGTTTGAAAAAAAATAAAAAAACGGCCATATCATTCCTAAACCAATCCTTTACCCTGAGCAATACCGATTTTGTTTGACACCATATGGATAAAAACCATGTTTTCAAAAGACTTATAATTGGTACCAATTCACACAAACCACTTAGTATACACTTATATATTTATTATACACTTATATAAATATTTAGCAGAATACATTTGGCCTAATTTTATGAAGAAATTTGATTTTATTTGATATTTTGTATGACAAAAAGTTAAAAATATTTATTTCGCACAATTTTTTGTCTTTTTTCATTTATATTAAAAAAAAAAAACCAGCGGCGATCAAATAGCACCAAAAGAAAGCTCTATTTGGGTAAAAAAATAGGCTCCCGTGGGAAAGTCTTTCATTAGCGCCCCCACAAATCAATCCACAGTTCAATGCTCTAGACAAACTGTTCCCTTGCCTATGTTTTCCCCTCCTGATCCACCTTCAAATCACCTCATTCTCCAGTGCTGCTTTGTTAATTTAGGAGCCACTTCTGGGCTTGTTTCAATTTTCAAGGCATTGCCCCTTCTAATCTGTCATGGAGGAGAGACTTGAGTGATTTCAAGCCTACACTTCATGGTGGTTCAGGAGGGGTGCTGCCGCACCAAAAGAAGGGAGAACAGAAGCTGGTCTAAAGCCACTGACCCACTATGGACACCCACCATATAGCAATATATTATACAGCAATGCAGAATACCACCAGCTATAGAGGATTATAATTCTCACGAATACATTATATAGCAACGCAGAATAATATGAAGCTACATACTCTGTGTTGCTCCAGGGTGGTGGCCTGATGTCTCCAGGGTCTCAGGACGGCTGTGCGGAGTCTCAGGACGGCTGTGCGGAGTCTCAGGACGGCTGTGCGGAGTCTCAGGACGGCTGTGCGGAGTCTCAGGACGGCTGTGCGGAGTCTCAGGACGGCTGTGCGGAGTCTCAGGACGGCTGTGCGGAGTCTCAGGACGGCTGTGCGGAGTCTCAGGACGGCTGTGCGGAGTCTCAGGAATGCTGTATGGGGTCTCAGGAGGGCTGTGCTGAGTCTCAGAAGTAGAGCTGTAACAACTATTCGGTTTAGTAGATTAAAATCAACGATGGAAAACGTTGTCAATGTTTTACATTGTCGATTAGTCGGCTATCAATTTAATTACCTGTTCGCGGCTTCACACACGAGCTGCACGCCACGCTCAAGCCGCGCTAGCTGAGGACATTCCTCTGCTACTCTCTTCCCCGTGAGCTTCCTGACTCACCGCTGCCCGCCAACAATCAAGGGCCCACGATTCAAAGTGAGTCACTCAGCAACGAGCGCAGGTCAGCATTCAGCCCATGTCCGGGCCGTGGGCCAGAAAGGCACAGGCAAAGGGCCAGATATGGCATGCGGGCCATAAAATGCCCAGGTCTGCCCTATAGGAACACTGGGGGTGATAGATGAGTTGGAATATTTGATTCCCCAGATAGTCCTCATTGGCTGTGTTCTGCTGCAGACTTCTGAAGTATATCACCCCCAGTGTTCCTATAGGGCAGACCTGGGCTTGTGCTGCTATGAGAGCCATTACTGAAAGGAGGGAACCCCCCCAACACCACCACCATGGGGAGAATCTAAACCTTTTTAATGTTCCTGTTTAAAAAAAAAAAATATATATATATATATATAACTGGTCGGTGGTATTCTGCATTGTGCCGCTGTATTATATAGCGGCACACTGCAGAACACCAGCAGCTATAGAGGAACAACAAATCCCAACAATAATACATTAAACTGCTTATATAATGTATTAATGCTGGGATTTGGTGTTCCTCTATAACTGGTCGGTGGTATTCTGTATTGTGCCGTATAATCATTATACTGTACAGCGCAATGGAGAATAACACCAGCTATAGAGGACTACAAATCCCAGCAATAATAAATTATACAGCGCAATGGAGAATAACACCAGCTATAGAGGAATACATCAGATCCCAGCAATAGTACATTATATACAGTGCAATGCAGAATACCAGCAGCTACAGAGGACTACAAATCCCAGCAATAGTACATTATAGTATAATATACTATTGCTGGCATTTGTTGTATTCCTGTATAGCTGCTAGTATTCTGTATTGTGCCGTATAATCATTATACAGCGCACTGCAGAATACCACCAGCTGTGCGGTGTCTCAGGTGGTCTGTGCGGGGTCTCAGGTGGGCTGTGCGGGGTCTCAGGTGGGCTGTGCGGGGTCTCAGGTGGGCTGTGCGGTGTCTCAGGTAGGCTGTGCAGGGTCTCAGGTTGCCTGGTGGGCTGTGCGGAGTTTCAGGTGGGCTGGGGGAGTCTCAAGTTGGGCTCCGCGGATTATTATCATTAATAATGTTTTTCGTGTTTTCACTTTTTATCAGTTTTTTTTATTTGAATTTCTTTTATTTTTTTCACTTAACTATATTGCTATCGCACAGGGGTTAACAAGTTCCTGTGTGATAGCCTTCGGAGGGGACAGGTTCTCTTTATGAGCCTGCCCTCCAGTACAGACTATGGACTCTGGACTTAGAATGCAGTAGACTCAGGCCCGGTGCAGGCCTAAGCGATCCGGGAACGCGAGTCCTGGGATCGCACGGTCCTGCACAATGCAGGCCGCGATTGCCGTGCGGCCCCATTGATTTCAATGAGGTGACATCCGTACAGCAATCGCAGAAAAAAGGTAAACAACGTGCGGCTGTTTTAGCGCAATCCACCCGGCGCGACTAGGTTGCAATTTTAAAATAATGGCACACCTACAGCGCGATCGGTGCACGCCTAGGCGACTACTGACCGAGCGGAATCGCGCACTATTGACGTGTGGTGATGTGTCATCTAGGTGTGCACACTAGACTTGAGACATAGGAAAGCACTAGACTCTGGACTTTGCAACACAGTGGACTTTGGACTAATCACAGATAATACAAACACCCCCCTCCCCTGCTACCTGATTGCCTGCTCTGTCTCTATGCAGCCT